CTAGGTGTCTGAACACCACCACCCCCCCCCCCAACTCAGACTAGTAGCTGTAGCCACTGCTGGAGGGTGCCAGCTCTCTCTAAGACCCCTGGGGGAGCTGGACTTTCAGACTCCTGGGCACCAAATGACACGAGTGCACAGACCGAATGCAGAAACGAAGGTAGTTTTCTTCCGGGTTTGTTGTTTGCCTTCTGGATCTGAGACCCCTTGAAGACATTTAAAATCTGAAACCAAAACATAAAAATCAGAGAAGTTAAATCTCAACACAAAATTTAGAAAACTCAAAATTGGGCTAGTAGAGTTGTCACTGTCTTTGGGCAGTTTGCAGGCACCTGCAGTGGTGCCTTCATCTGTTTCCCTGGGGCCAGGACTAATAGCTCTCTGTTCCTACCTGCTTCCTCCCCAAGTCAGTAATCAGGCTTAAGAGCTCTGCTTGAATCAATGTGCCCCCTGGTGGTAACACTAAGAGACACCCGGCCATTAGCAGCATTAGTGGTTTTTACCATCCGTCCTGGTCCACCCACCTGCTGGTGCATCCTCTGGCCGCTTCCCTGTGCTCACCCCATCTTCATCCAGACCCAAGCAGACGTCATCACGGAAACTTGCTCTGCTCACAGGGAGTTTTAATGGGTTCATCCTTACATAGATTCAAGAACACCATGTTTCAAATATGACCCAGAAAACCACAGCCATGGCAGCGATGCCCAACTCTGAGTTCTTGTCCTTGCCACCGTGTCGAGAGTTTTAGTAGAACCACTCAGTGCAGGTGGTGTTCAGATAAAGCCAAGCCAATCACGCCAGGAAGTGTTTCCTGAGTGCTGCTTTGGGCAGAGCACAGGGCTAGGTTCAGAGAAGGGCTGAGGACACGAGAGGATTATCTCATCCTGGAACCATTTCGAATATGCAAAGTGAGACACAAAAGTCAGAGAAGTGAAATCTCAACACAAGCTTTAGGAAGCTTCACATGAGACTTAGTACAGTTGTCACTGTCCTTGGGCAGGGTACATAGCCCATCTATGCTTTGTTTATGGGGACAAAATTGTCCTTGAGTGCATATTCATGCTTATGCAGGCATCTGGCACACGATATACCCTCAATAAATATTCATGACTATTATTGTTGCTGTCATTGTGACCATAGGTACTGTACCAATTACCATAGGAAGCATATAGGTTGACATTTCTTTTCATTTTTTTTTGGAGATATAGTTTTATTTTGTTAGCCTTGGTAGAGTGCCGTGGTGTCATAGCTCATAGTAGCCTCAAGCTTTTGGGCTCAAGCAGTCTCTTGCTTCAGTCCCCCAATTAGCTGGGACTACAGGCACCACAATGCCAGATGGATTTTTTTTAGAGATAGGATCTTGCTCAGGTTCAGGCTGAGCTCAAGCAATCCACCCTCCTCAGCCTTCCAGAGTGCTAGGATTACAGGTGTGAGCCACTGCGCCTGGCCTTGAGTTGACATTTCTGAAGGAGTTTAGAGGTGAGTACTCAAGGTTGGGGCTCCTGATGGGGGAGGATTTGGGGAAGAGGTGGAATTTGAAAGATAGGACTCAGAATCCTGAAGGCTCTGCTGGTACCTTAAGATGGGTTGAATGGGGTAATGGGACATAGAGTACAAGTGCAGTGGGCAGAGGAGGGCAGGGGCAAAGTGTGGAGGCAGCATAGTCATTATAGCTGGAAAGGGACATGTCCAGGTGACAGAAGAGGGGGGACATAGTGGAGCGGCTTCTCTTGGCAGTGGGGACATCTGAGAGGTGAAGGTTAGGGTCAGGATGAGGCTCCAGGATGTTGATTGGGAGGTGACAGGGTGCAGAGGGCTGGACCAGGAAAGGGAGGCAATTCTGGGCCTTCAGGTGAGAAGAGGAGGCGGGCTTGAGACACAGCGGGCAGAGAAGAGATTGGAGGTGACAAAGTGACCAGAAGAAAGTGGGTGCCTTCGCAGGCAGGAGATGCTCAGGGGGAGCTGAGTGGGGATGGAAGAGGAGTCCCACTTGGGACAGGACCAAGGGAGGGGTTTGTGTCTTTTCCTGCAGATTCAGGGAGGCAAAGATGAAGCTCAGGGGAGAGGGCTGGGCTGGAAACATCAGGGGAGTGCTTGGGGATGTGTGTGACAGGGAGAGGTAAGACTGAGGACCCCTGTGTGTGGGGGAAGTTCATGACAAGAGGAGGCAGCTGGGAGACCTGGAAGAAGCTGCCTGGGAAGGAGGAGGGCCCTTGGAGCATGCGTGGTGCCTTGTAGACTCTGGGTGATACTGTTAGCACCGATGGGCTCTATTAACAAAGAGGACATGCTTGGTGACATTCACTGTCTTCACTGGAGGCAGAAATTACCTTGGAGGCTGAGGAGATAGTTCTGGAGAAATACGACCCTCCTCTTTCCTGGCTGTTGCTCTGGCCCATGCAGTTAAAAGGAAAATGACCCCAGAGGAATTGCGAGTTGAGAGATCACTACTGGTGTACCTTTTATGTTACAGACATCACTTTCTGTATGTATCCCCCCAGATAGAAAGCAGGGACGTGAACAGATATTTGCACACCGTATTCATAGCAGCATTATTTCCAATAGCCAAAAGGTGGAAATGGTCTAAGGGTCTAATAACTGGTGAACTGATAAAATGTGGTACATCCATGCGATGGAATATTATACAGCCTTAAAGGGATGGCAATTCCGGCCTGTACTACAACGTGCAAGAACCTCGAGGACATTATGCTAAGTAAAAGAAGTGGTCACAAAAAGACAAATACGATGTGATTCCAATTCTAGGAGGTACTGATTCATAAAGCTGAAAGTGGAGTGTTTGTTGTTGGGGGGGCTGAGGGGAGAGGGAATGGCGAGTTACTTTTTAGCAGGTGCAGAGTTTCAGTTTGGGATGATGAGACAGTTCTGCGGATGGACAGTGATGAAGGCTGAGCCATAATATTAATGTGCTCAATGCCCTCAATACAGAGGGGCCCAAAATGTATAAATTTTTTAAGAAAAGAAAAAACTATTTTAAAATTGGAATACTTGGGCCAGGTGTGGTGGCTCACACCTGTAATTCTAGCACTGTGGGAGGCTGAGGCGGGTGGATTGCTTGAGCTCAGGAGTTCAAGGCCAGCCTGAGCAAAAGTGAACCTCATCTTTTTTTTTTTTTTTGAGACAGAGCCTCAAGCTGTCCCCCTGGGTAGAGTGCCGTGGCATTACAGCTCACAGCAACCTCCAACTCCTGGGCTCAAGCGAGTCTCCTGCCTCCGCCTCCCAAGTAGCTGGGACCACAGGCACCCACCACAACGCCTGGCTATTTTTTGGTTGCAGCCGTCATTGTTTGGCGGGTCCAGGCTGGGGATCCGAACCCGCCACCTTAGGTGTACGTGGCTGGCACCTTAGCCGGTTGAGCTATAGGCACCGAGCCGAAACCTCATCTTTTCTAAAAAATAGGAAAACTAGCTGGGCAATGTGGCTGGTGCCTTTAGTTCCAGCTACTTGGGAGGTTGAGGCAAGAGGAATGCTCGAGCCCAGGAGTCTTAGGTTGTGGTAAGCTATGATGATGTCACGGCACTCTATCCAAGAGACCGAGTAAGAAACTGTCACAGAAGAAAAATGTAATACTCAGTATATACCAATTACAAAAGATGAATACAAGTTACATTTGAGCACCTCTTGTAATTGCAAAAGTCAAACGTGACTTGAGTATTACAATTTTAATATAGTGTTTTCCTTTCTTAAAATTTGGCACCCTCTGTATACACTTAAAGATGGTACATTTTATGTTATGTGTATTTTAGTACAATTTATAAAGACAATGAATTCTAAGATTCATATTAGTTGAAGCTAAAATGGCATACATGACATAAAAAAGGGGTCTGAGCATGTCGTTTGCTGTGACATGGTGGGGAGGACCTGGCTTTCATGCAATTGTCTAATTGCCCAGTTTCACAGAGTTTTCACCTGTGAAATGGGAAGGACAGTGTCTGGCCTGGTGCCCAGGGTTGCTAGGTGGCCTGGGAGAGTGGGTTTGGGAGAGCTCTCTGTAAACTGTCATTCAGAATTGGTGGGTTGGCTGCACGTCAATACCTTAACTTGTGATCAAAGCATTCAAGCTACTCCAGGCAGGGCTGAGAGGGCCCCCTGGTAGGTGGCTGCTCATTTCAGGCCCCCACTTTAGGTGGCTGTGCCTGACACATGGCTTGTTGGTTCCTCTGGGCAGCTACTAGGATGGCCTCTGCGGGGCGTCTGGGCCTGCAGCCCAGGTGCAGACCCAGGAAGAATCTTTCCTTAGCCAGTCCAGGAGAGGATTAAGCCCTATCGTTCTAGCTATCCACTGTATGTGATGAATTATCATCTCTCCTTGCATTTAGGATGGTACCAGGTGAGGTAAGAAAGTAGACAGCTATGAATTTATGTATTCTTCAGTTTCCAGGTGAGAAAGGCGGGGACCTGGCAGACCCATGTCACCCCCACCCCAGGTTTGACCACACAGCGGACGCGAGGCCCAGGAGAGGCAGGCACTGGCTCAAGGTTGCTCAGGGTCTCAAAACGGGTTCCCTCAAAGCCAGGTCAGGCTTGTGTCATGGGTGACATGACCATCCCATTCCTTCTGGATTTTGAAAATGGAGCAGTTCCAGGCTGCTTGACTTTATGTCTCTGGTTGTGAAAGTGCATTTGTGGAGCTATTTCTTAGACCTTGGTGAGCAGGAGTGGTGGGTTTGGGAGGCTGAGAATCGCCCTCCTTCTCTGAGTGCTGAGGTCACGGCTCTGGCTGGCTCTGGGCTGAGCGTCTCTGGTAAGTGCACTGCAGCCCTGGTATGGTGTGGGGAGGGGCAGTGGCTAAGTGCTTTCTGAAAAAGGGCAAAAATGACGGGAAAAGCTTTGGGATCCTCTGGGAATCAGGGCCGCAGCAACAGCAGCTGCCGCCTTGGCTGGAAATATTTTCCTTGAGAGCCAGAGTGTGCCCACAGCCCACCCCTGCTGGTGAGGAGCAGTGTGGCCCGGGGCGGAGCCAAGGACCCTCACACCCTTGTGGAGGCAAGGAGGCCACTCTTCTCCTCACCAGCCAACTCTCCCTCCAAGTGGCAACTGCCTGCGAACTCACTGGCACCCACTGAATCTGGGGTGTGCCCACATCTAGCTGGTGAGTCCCTTTTTTTGTTTAATGGCCAACACAGATGTTAGCTTTTAGGATGGCGTAGTGTGTGGTCAAAAGCTGGGCCCTGCCGCTTTCCAGCCATTTGACTGTGGGCAGTTCTAACCAGCTTCTCTGTGTCTCCGTAACCCCATCTGAAAACTGGGGATGAAAATGGTGGCTGCCTCCAAGGTCGTTGTGAGGCTGAACTTGTAGTACACTTTAGCCTGGCTCGTGGTGAGTGACAGCGGTGGCTGGTATTATGGATGCTGGTTGTGTTTGCTCCTGAACCAGAGGTGCTTTGGGGTGAAGAGGCTGCAGCCGCTGGGAAGGCCGGTGGTTTGTGGCTGGAGGTTTCTAGCACGTTGTCCTCTCTGTGCAGTGGAGGAGCATGGGCTGGGAGGCAGGAACCCTGGGCTCTTGTCCCAGTTCCACTCTCTTTGTGTTTTACCGGTAGGTGGGAAGCCCCCAATCCTCTAGGAGATAGATGTTCAGGTAGGACAAAGGGATGATAGTGATCCTGGCTGGGTCCTGGTTAGTGTTCCCTCAGTGTAAAGTCATAAAACACGAGAGGGAGGTGTTCCCAGGGGGCTGCATGGATGGATGCTTTGGGGGAGAGAGTGATGCCGGACAGCCATGCCCAGGATGTCTCGCCTGGACTGAGAAGAGAAGAACAGAGCCTTCTTCCAGGTGATGGGCAGTGTCCTTTTTGGCTCTGGACTTGAGAAAGACCTTGAGATCAAACCAGATCTTTGTGGGCAGGGTCATTTTTTCAGAATCATTCTTTAGTCCAGATTCATGAGTTTGTGAATCTTGTATAAATCAGAACCACCATCTCCAACAAACAACCAACATGCGTCTGCCTGTATCCTGGTAGGAAATCCCCCTGATCGCTATAGAACGTTCTGCAGTGGCAGGTGCACCAGGTATATCACTGTTAGAGAGAACGACCCAGGCCTGGCAGTGACAGACTATCCTGTCCTGGTTACTCATCCCAGTCCAGAGCAAATGGTCTCCCAGTCCCTGTCCCACTCTGTGCACTGGGAGAAGGTTGGCTTCCAGGAGAGAATCAGATGCAGACTGTACAGTGTAGATTTTGGGTTTGTTGACTGACTAAAGGACAGTGCTATGAGGACTGTTTCCTGTTTACTGGGTTTGGCACGGTTGGGACTGGTCAGAGGAAGAGGCAAAGAAAAGGTGCTAACAAATCACATGGCTGAGAAGTTGACAGAGCCTCCTGCTAATAGATACACTCTTCTTGGGCTGGTCAGGGATTAGTTTATTCTTAGTTTTATAGCCAGCCTTATCTAAAGCAAGACCACAGATATTTCTGGGAGAGCCAGGTATAGAATATGGCTTAGGTCTCATTCATGTTCCATTTTGGGGTTTGAGTTTCCTGGGCTGCTTGTTCGAGCCGGAGGGTGCTTCAGGTTGTGCTTGTTCCCAGGGGTGGGAGTGCCTGGTCTGATTGCTTCCCAGGCCCTTGCCTGGTGTCTGGGGCCAAGTTTAACAGTCAAGAGAGAGCCCCAGACCTCCAGGAGGGTGGTAGAGAATTGGCTATCCCAGGCTGCCTGGGATCAAATCCATATTCTATATCTTACTGTGTGACCTTGGTCAAGTCACATGACTGCTGTGTGTCTCAGTTTCCTAATCTGTGAAACATTTTTATTTCTTAGGGACATTGTGGGATTGAGCAAGTGAGTATAGGTAGAAAGCTTAGGACAGTGTTTGCTTTGTGCGTGGCATATGCTCAAACACGTTAATTACTTTTATTCTCATTAGCTTCTGGTGCCTCTTAAATGCTGACAGGTTCCCCAAACTATGAACAGTCTTTGATAGGAAGTTATCTTCTGAAGGCACAGATTGGTGCCCAGTCCACATGCTTCTGAAGCAACTCATGGCTTTCTGCTGTCCATCTAAAACTGTCCACTATCTGCTCCCTGGAATTGAAGACCGACAGCCATCTGTTTCTAGCTGGGTTCTCCAGTCCCACTGACTTCCTCTGTTCCAGGGATCCCTGCCCTCACCCCCAGCCCCAGCTCCAGCCCCAGCCCAGCTATGTTCCCTTCCAGTTCCAGCTCATCTGTCACTTTACCCATGAAGCCTTCTTTGGTCCCTCTGCCCAGGCCAGCACCTGGTTTCTGTCTCAGATAGGGTCTGATCCTCTCTGTGGCCTAAGCAGATGGATGGCACCCAGGAAGACTCAGTAGATGGGAGTTGAGTGAGGGGATAAGCCAAAGGGTGAGAGGCCGGAAGTGGGGCTTTCCGTGGCTAGGAACACTTCCTGCTGCAGGTGTCCACCTGATGGATGAATCAGACAAAGACTCAGGCCCTGGTGAAAGCAGATCAGCAAGCAGGAAAGGAAATGGGCTGGCAGTCAGCTGTCTGTACTGTTCACGGGGTACAGAGTGGGAAGGCCGCCTCATTTTTCTTTCCTCATGAATCTGGGCATCAGACCGTAGCTGACTTACTGCTGTGTCTGGGCTGTGGGCCCCAGGATTTCACTGCCTGAATGTGCACTCTGAAAATGCAGGACTTGAGGAGCCTCTCACTCCTTCAGTGACTCTTTTCCAGAAATCAGCTACTGCTGGAACATTAATCTCCCTAATTTCTCGTGGAAACAAGAATTAGAAGGGTCTGTATCTGATGTCTCTCATTACCTCTGTGGTGACCAGCACAGCTTTTTCATAGAGAGATGGATCAGGCAAGGTCTCTGCCCAGGAGGAGGTCGGTGACAGATAGGAATTGCCAGAGGGCCATGAGGGATGGATGGTCAATGAACTGGGCCCCTCTGGAGTAAGGAAGGAGCATGTCCAGTGCAGAGATTAGGGGCCTTCACAGAGGAGGTGGCATCACTGCTGGATTCCAAGGTGGAAGCATGTGCGAGGTGGATTTGGGCAAGGGCAGAGCAGAAGAAAGCATCCCAGGTGGAGGCGCTATGGGGTGAAGGCCATGAGATGGAATGTGTGGGACAGCCCTGGACACCAGGGATGGGGCGTGTCCAGTCAGATGGAGAGGGCAGGAAGCAGATTAGGAAGGAAGTAGAAACAGCACTGGCACAAGCATAGCCGTAACCGCTGACTCCAGCTGCCAGCCCACCTCTAGGGCTTTAAGCTTAGAAGGCCTGAAAGCCCCAAATCACTTAAAACCTAAAAGTTCAAGGCCAGGATGTTTAAAATGTACTAATTTCACAAAAACTACAACCCCCACCCCCAAACCTTAAAACCCCTGTGCAAACTAAATGGCTGCCAAGTTGCAGAGCAAAGGTAGGCCATGCACGTGGCTGATGGCAGGTGGACACGTGGCACAGGAGGCTCCTGAAGGGGAGAGTGTGGGTGTGTCAGTCTCAGCTGGTCACTGTGTTCAGCAAATGTTTTTTCCCACTCTTGGGGGCTGAGCCATCTGCATCACGAGTTGCTCTCTGAATACAGCCAGCGATGGCCACTCCCATTGTTCCCCTTGCTCTGATCTTGGGAGGGAGGCAGCGGTTATCATCCTCACTCTGCAGGTGAGGCAGCTGAGGCTCAGTGAAGCATCAGTCTAACTCAGTCTCCCAAGGTCTGCTGAAGTTGGTGGCTGTAGAAATGGCCTGAGCTCTGACCATTGAGACATACCTGTCTCTGGGGCCACTGAGGTGAGAGGTGCAGGCCTGAAATCTTCAGTTCTGCGGGGTGGGAGCAGCAGCCGGTTGGCCTGTGGTGTGCCCTGTTTCACTTTGCTCTTAGCAAGGAGGACAGGTAGGGCCCAACTGTAGTCCTTAAGTTGGGAACAATCCTGTCTTGGTGGCTGCAGCAGGCTGCCCATTGGGTCACAGAGGATCTGGCAAGGATGAAGAAACAGCGTAGCTCAGACTTGGGGGAGCCTGAGCACCTACCCCAACAAGACTCCTGCCCAGAGCCTCCAGATGGAGATCCTGACTCCAAGCCACCTCCAGCCAAGTCCTACTTCTCCACGGCCAAGAGCCGTGCCCGGCTCTTTGGGAAGGGTGACTCAGAGGAGGTGTCCTCTATGGATGGCTCTTATGAGGAAGGAGAGATGGCTTCCTGCCCAACCATCACAGTCAGCCCAATTGTCATTGTTCAGAGGCCTGGGGATGGCCCCACCTGTGCCAGGTGAGTCTGCATCTTCCCCTCCCCCCATCTCCCTTACTGCCAGGAGATGCCACATGGTGGTTGGCTTCTGGGCCGAAGGCCATAGAACCAGGGAGCTAGGGGGCTTCAGGGTGGTCTGGCCCAGCATCTACACTCAGAAGACCTGACAGGACACATCATCCCTGAGGCTGGTGTATACACTGATCCCGGCTGACCTCTATTGTCTGGGCCTGGAATGCTCACCAGCCCCAAACACTTGGACTTTAAGTGCAAAAGCTCAAGGCCAGGGGGCTTTAGATAGAGAGTGTAAAACAGCAGGGCAAAGAGGGCCCACAGGCTGACTGTCCTGGGGAGCAGAAGGAACCCTGTTCACTAAGCAGAGGCCAAACCCTTGCCTCCAGCCCCCACTGGGCCACCACCTCCTGAGCCCCAGCTCCCCTGCAGGCAGAGAAGTAAAGGGCCTGGGTGTAGGGGGTGGTGATGGTGAAGACTTTCTAGATGGGGTCTATAGAGAGGGCAGGCACAGAATGGGATACATGTGTCCCACTATTCCTTGTTATATTAGCTTCCTGGACTGAGGAGCTTGCTTTTGTGTCACGATTGTTCCCCTTTTGGTCTGCCTTAGGGTTTAGTTGTGTTTCCTTAAAAGCTCTGAAGGCCGCAGGGCCAAGGGGAGGCCTGGGTATGAGAGGAGGGTGTTTTCTGGCCCTCAGGCAGCTGTCCCAGGACTCTGTCACCACTGGCACCGAGAAGACCCTCAAGCTCTATGATCGCAGGAGGATCTTTGAAGCTGTCGCTCAGAATAACTGCCAGGAGCTGGAGAGCCTGCTCCTCTTCCTGCGGAAGAGCAAGAAGCACCTCACTGACTGCGAGTTCAAAGGTGGCCAGGAGGGCCGGGCTTGGGGAGGCCCTGCCCCAGCCCGCTCTGACCCTCCCTTTGTCTTTCAGACCCCGAGACAGGGAAGACCTGTCTGCTGAAAGCCATGCTCAACCTGCACGACGGGCAGAACGACACCATTCCTCTGCTCCTGGAGATTGCCCGGCAGACGGACAGCCTGAAGGAGTTTGTCAACGCCAGCTACACAGACAGCTATTACAAGGGTGAGAAGGGCAGCTCAGTGCAGGGGGCCTGGAACCAGAAGGCTGTCGTCCTGGGGCCGTCTTACTGCTCTGAGTTCTGTACTTCCTGTCCCTGCCACTGAGTAGGTGGCTCCTGGTCCTGGGGGTCCTTGCCTCTCCCTGGTAGCTTGGTGGTCCCTCCCCTGGAAGTCATGGCCTCCGGCCCCTTTGGCGTTCTTTCTTATACCTTGGTAATTTTGACTGCATGGTGTGGCGTCATAGCTCAAAGCAACCTCAAACTCTTGAGCCCAAGTGATCCTCTTGCCTCACCCTCCTGAGCAGCTGGGACAGCAGGTGCTTGTTGTGAAGTCCAGCTAGTTTTTCTATTTTTAGTAGAGATGGGATCTCGGTTTTGCTCAGGCTGGTTTCAAACTCTTGAGCTCAAGCAATCCACCCACCTAGGCCTCCCATAGCACTAGGATTACAGGTGTGAGCCACCTTGTCTGGCCTGCCTTGCAGTCTTTTTGTTTGTTTGTTTTTTGAGACAGAGCCTCAAGCTATCACCCTGGGTAGAGTGCTGTTGCATCATAGCTCACAGCAACCTCCAATCGCTTAAGCGATTCTCTTGCCTCAGCCTCCCAAGTAGCTGAGACTACAGGCGCCCACCACAATGCCCAGCTATTTTTTAGTTGTAGTTGTCATTGTTGTTTGGGTGGATTGGAACCTGCCAGCTCTAGTGTATGTGGCTGGTGCCTTAGCCACTTGGGCTACAGGCGCTGAGCTTGCCTTGTAGTCGTGTACCTCCTGTTGCCAGGGTCTTTCTTGTGTAGGAAGTTCCAGGGCCCCCTTGGGGGATCCCGACCTTGTCTCCTACAGTATGGATCTGCCAGGCACTTTCTGCCCTCTCTTCCTACACCAGCTGCTGGCTACCTGGGCCCTACATCAGCACCTGTCTGTGCAGCCTGGCAGGACTGTGGTCACAAAGCCTTGGCATGTGTCCTCTGTAGGACAAACGGCGCTGCACATTGCCATTGAGAGGCGGAACATGGCACTGGTGACCCTTCTGGTGGAGAATGGAGCAGATGTCCAGGCTGCGGCCAATGGGGATTTCTTTAAGAAGACCAAAGAGCGGCCTGGCTTCTACTTTGGTAGGAAGACTGCGTGGTGGCAGACACTTGGCATTTTGGCTCTGGCTAAGGGGTGATTTGGGGCAGAGATAGAGGGAGTTTGAGCCCTGGTGGTTTAGGGATTGGCTCAGTCTCACTCCTGAGGGCTACCACGGCCCCTGTGTTGACTTCAGGTGAACTGCCCCTCTCCCTGGCTGCCTGCACCAACCAGCTGGCCATCGTGAAGTTCCTGCTGCAGAACTCCTGGCAGCCAGCCGACATCAGCGCCAGGGACTCAGTGGGCAACACGGTATTGCACGCGCTGGTGGAGGTGGCAGACAACACGGCTGACAACACCAAGTTTGTGACAACCATGTACAATGAGATTCTGATCCTGGGGGCCAAACTCCACCCTACGCTGAAGCTGGAGGAGCTCACCAACAAGAAGGGGATGACACCATTGGCCCTGGCCGCTGGGACGGGGAAGATCGGGGTAGGAGGGGGCATTGGCCCAGGCTCAGGGTGTGACTTGAGATGGCGTTGTGGGAGAGGGCTGCCTGCCTCATTAGGAGTGCCTGGCATTGCCACCACCATGAGTGTAGGACTCCAATTCTGTCACACCAGCTTGAAGGGCTGTTAGGATAAATCAGAGGAACTGGGAGCAGCCTGGCAGAATGCAGCACTTCTGATTTCCAACTCTGAGTAGTGGCTGCAAGACATGGGGTGGGGTAGGGGGCTTCTGGAGCCTGGGGGAGCACTGGGTCAGTTTATGGTGGAACAGAAAAAGAAGCTGCTAGGTTTGTCCATGGCAGGCAGGAGTTTTGGGCGACAGGGAGGGTCCTAATGGGAGAGTTTATGGTAGGGCAGGCCTAAGGGAAATCAGAGGACACAGAAGGCCAATGGTGGGGATGGGGCTGCTGAGAATTAGAGGGGAGGGGGCATCTCAGGCTCAGGTGATTTTGGAATCCTGTTCCTGCTCAGATGAGCCCCTTGGGATGAGGAGCCTGGCTTTCTGACCTTGGTTTTCTTTGTTGGATTATCTATTTCCTCCTTCTGGCTTGAGGTTTTCTAGAATGGAGCACCATTGCCCTTCACTGTGAAATGGTAGAGCTAGGGGCCCTGGTGTGACGTGGCACTGGGCCTGAAGTGGCTGCAGGGGCATTGATTCTGATGGTGGTCAGGAGGGTAGGGGTTGGCAGAGTTATTCTCCAAGCAGACCTGGTACCTGTGTGAAGATGTTACCTGTGGCTGGCCCCCAGGCTGGCCTCTAACAGGTTCATGTTCCCCGGTGGCAGGTCTTGGCCTACATTCTCCAGAGGGAGATCCAGGAGCCTGAGTGCAGGCACCTGTCCAGGAAGTTCACCGAGTGGGCCTATGGGCCCGTGCACTCCTCACTCTACGACCTGTCTTGCATCGACACCTGTGAGAAGAACTCAGTCCTGGAGGTGATCGCCTACAGCAGCAGTGAGACCCCCGTGAGTGGCAGGGCTGAGACACAGCCAGGGAGGACTTCAGGGCCACTGCACTCCAGCCCCAGCCTCTGGCCCAGCTCTGCCTGTCTTCCCATCAGTGAACATCTACTTCCCTGTAGGCCAGGCCCTACAGTCTCATCATGTAGTCCCATTCATTCCCACCAAACAGTTTCCTTAAGCGAACCAATGGTAAGGGATTATGATCCAGTAAAAACTGAAACATTTCAGAGGTACATGGACAAAAAGGACCCTCCTTTAATACCACATAATACGTAATTTCATTTTGTTTATATAAGTGGGATTATGCTGTACATAACGTGGAACAACACTTTCACTTAATGGCATATCTTACAGATAGTTTTGTATTAGTATATATAGGTCTGTTCCATTAAAACTGTTGTCACATGGCTGGGAAAGGTGGCTCACATCTGTAATCCTACTACTCTGGGAGGCCGAGGCAGGTGGATTGCTTGAGCTCAGGAGTTCAAGACCAGCCTGAGCAAGAGTCAGATCCTGTCTCTAAAAAAAAAAAAAAAAAAGCCAGGCATGGTTGTGGGCGCCTGTAGTCCCAGCTACTTAGGAGGCTGAGGCAAGAGGAGTCTTGAGCCCAGGAGTTAGAGGTTGCTATGAGCTATGACGGCCACAGCACTCTACCCAGGGTGACAGAGTGAGGCTCTGTCTCAAAAAAAAAAAAAAAAAATATATATATATATATATATCCACATTGGATTCCGCAGTAGGGATGGGGAGTAAGTGTCGATAGAAGGACATTCAAGTTATTTCCAGTTTTTTGCTATGGCATGCTTCAGGGCACTTGGCATGGGCTGGAGAGTTTGTCAATGAAGTCTACCTGGAATTGGAATTGCTAAATCAAAAAGAACACTCACTTAATCAATGTACACGCCTACCCAGTAGGTACACAACTAACCATATTCTTGCCAACCTGGATATTATCAATATTTAAAAAAAACTAGCTTAAATTGATAGAACCAAAAATGCTATCTCGTTAATATCTTATTTCTCATTTTCCTGATCCATGGTGAGGCTGAGAATTTATTTGTGTTTATCAAACTTTCATATTTCTTTGGTAGATTTTCTATTCATTATCCTTTGTGACTTCTTCTAGGGCTCATTTTGGGGAGGTTACTAGATGCTGTCTTTTTTTTTTATTTGTTTGTTTTTTGCAGTTTTTGGCCGGAGCTGGGTTTGAACCCACCACCTCCAGCATATGGGGCCAGCGCCCTACTCCTTTGAGCCGCAGCGCCACCCCACTAGATGCTGTCTTACAGAAAGAGTTGATCTTTTCTCTATTGCATAGGTTGCAAATATTTTATTTTCTCCCACCTTTTAACTTCATGTATGGCTTCATTTGCTTATAGACGGTTTTCATTTTGATAGGGTCAAATTTTTCTTTAGTAGTATCTGTGACTTGGGTCTTGCTTAGAAGGACCTTGTCCACTTCAAGGTTATATGCGTATCCTTTCATAATTTCTTTTTGCTCCCTCATAGGCATTTTGTGTTGGGCACTTTCATTACCTAGAATTTATTTTTGCATTGGTGTGAGGTAGGTATCAGACTAAATTATTCTGCTCCAAATGCAGGTTTCAATACCACAGTCCATGCTGCCACCATTGCTTCAAAAGGCCACCTAACTGCCTCTTCTTTCCAAGGTGATGCTTTGAGCTTTTAAGGCAGACTTTTGGGCTGGAGTCTGTGTCTTCAGCAATGTGGGGCCACCATGCTGTGTCACAGGTCAGAGGTGGCATTTAGAAGATGTGCCCCAGGGAGGAGAGGCCTGTTCTGCTCTGCCCTGTCACCCAGGCCTGGGCTGCCTCTGCCTTAGAGTCCTGGATGCAGGTGGTCTTGGAGGAGCAGTCTGGGTAGGAAATGACCTCAAAAAGGACTGCTGTGTTTGGCCTGGAGAAGTGAGACTCTGGGGCCACCACTGATGTCTTTATGTCTCTGAAGACTCTCAGGGGCAAGGAGTGTGGACTTGTCCTGGGCCCCTCAGTCAGAGCTGGGACCACAGTGGAAAGTAAAAAGATCAATGTTACTCCAAAGAATAGATGCTTCCTATAGTCTGAGTGTCTCCAGAGGCTTCCTGAGGTGGTGGAAAGGTAGTCAAGAAGACTGAACAGGGACTCTGTCATGGGAGCTTGACCTTGAGCTGGGGGTCAAGAAAGAGGCCAGAGTGATCTGATTTTGGCTCATCTATCCCAGGGACACCTGTACTATAACAAAGTCCGTGGGTATGAGACTTTCACCCCAAAGCATACTTGTAATGACAGAATCCAGGTACTGGCCCTTCCTGCAGGGGAACAGGAACTCCTACCCGATCCAGGGATAGCAATGTGAGAAACAAGGGACCCAGAGGCTCTTTTTGCTTGCTCTTAGTCCCTTCTCTAAGCAGCCTCATGCCAGGTCCTGCCTGAACCGGCTTCTTCCCATAACTGTGGGAATAATAAGGATGTAGGCTCTCAGGAGAGAGCTATTGGAGATAATGGGCACAGTATTTTGGGAAATATTGTGGGCCTTTGAGTGGGCACTTAGGGTTTGTCCAATTTTACCCTATCTGCTGTACACATGGGAACATTTAGGCCAAGAGAGTGGGTCAGTTGGCAAGCCACAGCAGGGCTGGTCCAGACCTCCTGTGACCCTCAGTTGCTCTGTGGGCTGAGCCATGGTCACAGGGTCTGAGCAGCACCGCAGGCTGGTGTGGGCATGCAGGCGGTTCCTGGCAGGGAGAGCGAGCCTCACTTCTCTTTGCTCCCTCTAGAATCGCCATGACATGCTCTTGGTGGAGCCACTGAACCGACTCCTGCAGGACAAGTGGGACAGATTCGTCAAGCGCATCTTCTACTTCAACTTCTTTGCCTACTGCTTGTACATGGTCATCTTCACCACGGCCGCGTACTACAGGCCTGTGGACGGCTTGGTGCGGCCGGAGGATCAGGCCTGGGCTCTGGGGTTGGGATGGGAACATTTTCTCATAAGCCCCACTGGACCAGGTGCAGGCCCTGTCCTGGACTTTGTCCTCATTTGCTGAAGCAGTGGAAGGCTCACTTGGAGAGCCTTTGTCTCTTAGCTCAGTTTCCTACTCAGGCTGTTCTGGTGACCATTCTTGGCCCGTCTCCTTTAGCCTTGTGGCCTGGGAGGCTGGTCACCTGGTTGCTGAGGTCCCAGATGGCAGAGGGGGGTACTCAGTGTAAAAAGCATGCAGGATCTAGGGCACAGGAAGCAGCTCACCCTTGCGTCTGCAGGGACATGGGATGGTGTAAGCCCCAAGCCCATTGCCATCTTGCTTGCCTGCCCTCTTTTATTCACTCACGTGCTCATTATTCATCCTCTGGACATAAACTTCTGAGCACTCCTTCTGTGCCAGCCCCTGAGCCATGCATAAAATCAGCCTATGATTGGCATTTTTCCCTCTATGGGAGCCATGGACTCCATAGAATTTCTGAATCGAGTCCCTCATTCTATACCCAGGGCACTAAATTTGCTGCCTTTATTTCCAAGGCATCTTGTTCGTAAATTTGGTTCAAGAACTCGACTTCATAGTTAGATGAAACCTGATTTCTATCCACCCATTAAGACCATTTAATGACTTGGTTTTGAAAGAAAAAGAAAAAACTGTGCTAAGAAGGCAAACTAGTGAACCAGTGGTTATGAAACATTGAGAGTAAACTGAAAGGAAACCCACCTCAGAAGATGGTGGCTGAAACACAAGGACAAGGCCTGCATGTATGCGTGGGAGTGTCCCTTTCTCGATTGTCCACGGGAGTCCCCGATGCTCCTGGGAGAACAGGTGCTCCCTGTGGGCCATGGGGGCAGCAGGACTCCTATGGCAGTGGGGTGTGTGTCACCTATCCCATCACCTTGCTCCCAGCAAAAGGGCACTCTTGGGAGCAGCACAGCACAGTGTAAGGATGCTCTGCTTGGCATTTGGAGCTGCCTCTTTGGGGAATCAGGCCCCCCAGAGGAGCTTCCTTACAAGTGTCCCCATAAGAATGCAGTGTCTTTGTGTGTCCCTCCATCAGGTTGCTGTGTCAACCTGATGGAGGGTGTGTCTTCAGGGCAGAGGCTGGGTCCTCATCACAGGGCACGGTACCTGGTAAATGCCTGTTGAGTGAACAAGTGGGTAATTAACAGCATCACCCACTTCTCTGCATCTCACAGCCTCCATTTAAGATGAAAAACACTATTGGAGACTATTTCCGAGTCACTGGAGAGATTCTGTCTGTGGCAGGGGGAGTCTACTTTTTCTTCCGAGGGGTAAGCATTCCTCCCCATGCTGTGAGTTTCTCTTATCACCAAAACAAAAAGCCAAGAGAAGCGCTCATTGCTCACTCGCTTTTTTATTCGTCAGACACACAGAAATCACAGATGATGTATTATAGGTATAGTTTTTGCAAGAAAGGTGATGTGAAATTCCAAACAGCTGGCTCAGCGCCTATGGCTCAAGCGGCTAAGGCGCCAGCCACATACACCTAAGGTGGCGGGTTCGAATCCCCAGCCCGGGCCCGCCAAACAACAATGATGGCTGCAACCAAAAAATGGCCAGGCGTTGTGGCGGGCGCCTGTGGTCCCAGCTACTTGGGAGGCAGAGGCAGGAGACTCGCTTGAGCCCAGGAGTTGGAGGTTGCTCTGAGCTGTGATGCCATGGCACTCTACCCAGGGGGATAGCTTGGGGCTCTGTCTCAAAAAAAAAAAAAAAAAGAAATTCCAAACAGCTGTCCCACACTCAAAGAACCAGACTATTCCTCCATTATAGAAAAATGGCCAAGGATTGTACCTGTATAACTTTTCAGTTACAATTAAATGATTACTGATTTAGGCATTCACACTTGGTGCTGGTAGGGGTTCTGCCCAGTGCATCCCCATGGGCCCAGGGCAGTCAAGCTTGCAAATAGCTAGGAAGGGCCCTTCCAGGGAGCCTCTCTGATGCCTGTGATGTGTAATTACAGAAGCAGAGCGGAAGCTGCTTAAGGGGTAGGATCATGACTGGCAGTTGTTTAACTCATCAAAACAGTCTGTTAAAGCTCAGAACAATGAAGGAAGTCTGAAACTCACAACTGTGCAATCCTTGGCCATTTTTCTAAAGAGTAGTCAGTTCTGTCTTTGAACATGGGGCCTGTTTGGGATTTTACATCTTGCAAACACTGTGCGTGTGATACATCAGCTATAATTTATAGTTTCAGTTTCTTCAAAGAGGAATTAGATGGGTACAAAGAGCTCAGATTTGGGGATAACTGTGATTATTTGAACTCCCAGTTTTCAAGATATAACCCTCCCCTTTTTTTGTGACTCACTTTTGTGGAGTCTTTCCAAATCACTGGACTTGGTCTTCATGGAAACAACTGTCTTTCTTTTCACACACATAGTTTACGTTATAATAAGGTACAAAGCCACAATGGCGAATTCGCTTGTGCGAGGGTGCAGAAGTGTGTGAGATGTGAGTATCCTGCTGAGGACCTTCCTGTTAGTTAATCTGGTGAGTGAGTTCAGTGGAGGCTGGTTAACAAGCTTTTTCCTCTAATGCTTACTTAAATTTAAGGGGGGAAAAAAGCACCAATTAAAATGAAAACAATTGCCCAATTCCATTATTTATTCACAGAAATTGATAACATTTTGGTGGTTTTCTTTCCTATCTTTGTTTCTAGGTATAGTTGTAAATCCAGTCTGTATTTTAAAAAATTGCTGCTGACTGAGTCAGCCAATATGACCCCCTGGGCCTGACCCAGACTGTTCCCTCTTCCCATGGTCCCTACTCTAACACACTCCTCTGTCCCCTCCTGGGGCTGAGTGCTCATTGTGCAGCTACTTCTGACATTTCCAGGGATCTTACTTGGTCTGTTTACCTGCAGATTCAATATTTCCTGCAGAGACGGCCATCCATGAAGGCCTTATTTGTGGACAGCTACAGTGAGATGCTTTTGTAAGTGACACTTCGACCCTTTTACCTCTTTGGGGCCAGTTCTGAGGAGATGGTAATCAGTTTTCACTCCTTCTCTCACTTATGCCGGGCCTGGCACATAGTAGGACCTCAGTGAACGTGGTGGAGGGATGATTCATCCAATGAATGGATGAATGAATACTGAGGGCCTACTTTGTGCCAGACGTGTGTCAGGTGCTGGGAATCGACACATTGTGCCCTGAGCTCATGTGACTTACAGCCTCACTTAGATGCACACTTGTTCTCCTTTTCCATCCATTTGACCATCCATCTGCCATTTACTGGGTTGGCACTGGCGTACTGGGATGAAATGGATACAATTCCCACCTGCAAGGAATTTCCAATCTTTAAGGCAGGGCTCTTCAAGCTTGGCACCACTGACATTTTCTTTTCTTTTCTTTTCTTTTTTTTTTTTTTGAGACAGAGTCTCACTCTGTCTCCCTGCATAATCTTTTGGGCTTGAGTAATCCTCTTGCCTCAACCTCCCAAGTAGCTGGGACTACAGGTGTGTGCCACCATGTCTGGCTAATTTTTATATTTTTCATAGAAACTGGGTCTCCCTCTTGCTTTGGCTGCTCTCAAACTCTTGAGCTCAAGCAATTCACCCACTTTGGCCTCCCAGAGTGCTAGGATTACTGCACCAGGCTGGCACTACTTAGATTTTGGACTAAATAATTTCTGGTAATGGTGGCAGAAGGGCTGCCCTGTGCACTGTAGAATATTTAGCAGCATAACTGATCTCTACCAACGAGATGTTTGTGTCTCTCCTGTCACTTAGTCTCTCCCTACCCCAGGTTATTGTGAGAGTACAAAAAACTAGTTCACAATTTTTTTTTTTTGAGACAGAGTCTCACTTTGTCACTCTCGGTTGAGTGCTATAACATTACAGCTCACAGCAACCTCCAGCTCTTGGGCTTAGGAGATTCTCTTGCCTCAGCTTCTGGAGTAGCTGGGACTACAGGCATCTGCCACAAGGCCCAGCTGGTTTTTTGTTGTTGCAGTTTGGCTGGGGCTGGGTTTGAACCCACCACCCTCCATATATGGGGCTGGCGCCCTACTCACTGAGCCACAGGCACTGCCCTCTAGTTCATAATTTTTGAATTTGTTAAGTAGAGTTCTTATAGTTGCATCCCACACCCCAAAGGTGTCCTATTCACCCCTACCTTGTGGCCTTTAAGTGGGAGCACACCAATGCCCTCTCTCCTCTCCACTCCCTTGTTCCCCCTTCCCCCAACTTGAATAGAATTAAGTTTTTCTCCTATGTGGGCCCGTATTAGATTGTCTCCTGGCTTCATAATAAAATTAAGTACATTGGATCCTTGCTTTTCCATTCTTGCTGTCACTTAGTCTTGACAATCAAAAATGTTTCCAGATGGGATGGCGCCGGCCCCATATACTGGAGGTGGTGTGTTCAAACCCAGCCCTGGCCATGAACTGCAAAAAAAAAAAAAAAAAAAAAAAGTTTCCAGATGTTGCCAAGGCCCCGCACTTGGGGAGGTGGGTGCCAGAATCACTCTTTGTTGAGACACACTGGTTTAGGGGAAGATAGATGAGTAAAAACTGTGGATGCCACAGGGAACCCCCTTCCTTCAGAAAATAACCTGGAACCTTATTATGTGACGATGGAATAATTTTTTGTTCCAATTGGTATTCAGTATTTACATTGTTAGACTTCTGCAAATATTCACAATGTCCTCTTCTACTTTCTTCTGAAGTGAATAATTACCTTGTTTTTCACTTGTTTAGTTTTCTTTGTGGCGATTGCTAATTCTTCCCACATCTCCTCAAATCTCTCAATATAATTCCCTCAAAAATCAATCACGTAAGTGGCATTATCAGATTTCCCCCCACCATTTTTTTTTTTTTTTTGAGGAATTTCCCCCCTGGAGCCCTGGATTCTCTTCCTCACTGGGGTGGTTTTTCTCCACCCCTGCTGCTTAGCTCTTGTCCTGAGACTTCTCTTTGCTGCCAACCTCAGAATTCTTGTTGCTTTCCTGAAAGAGTTCCTGTCTATTTCTATCTTCTTCTTTCCTGGTTTTTCCCTTCGTTTGAGCACATCCTTTTGTATTTTCATCTGATGAAAAAAGAGGGTATAATGGCAGAGGACACAGTGATGACAGCTTTCAGGGTCCTTGAATCTTCAGTCACATTGCTCTGGTGTGTACAGTTGTCATTCTTTCACTAACGTCCTGGCGATCCCTTTCCCTTTGGGTCTCTTATTTTCTGAAACCAATGTCTTCCTCTTTCCTGGTTTGCTTCTTTGTTTTGGAGGAGGACATCAAGAACCAGGAGAGAAGTTTTATGTTGGAGAATAGGAGAGTAAATTTTCTTTTAAATCTTGTGTGTCTGAGAATATCTCTATTATATCATCACATTCAATTGATAGTTTATGCATAACATTCTTTGAAAAGTTCGATATTTTTCTACTATTTTTTTGCTTTAGTGTTATAGATGAAACCACTCTGATTCTAGATCCTCTTTTAAGACCCGTTTTGATTATTCTCCTTGTATCTTTGTACCTGGTGCCCTGAAACTTAATGATGCAAATGTTTTACAATTGCAGATTAATGAGAGAGTACAAACAACGAGGTTACGATGTTTACATTTGTTAGGGAGAGTTCCTCTTGCAGTTGTGTCCTACACCCGAGAGGTGTGCCATATACCCTTACATTGTGCACATTAACTGGAGCGCCCCAACCTCTTCCCTCTCCCCCTCCCACCAACTTGAGTTGATTTGAGTTTTTCTCTTATGTGGGTGTGTATTAGCTCATCTACTGGTTTCATGTTCCTATCGAGTATATCGGATTGTTGCTTTTCCATTCTTGTGATACTTTACTAAGAAGAATATGTTCCAACTCCATCCGGGTTAGTACAAAAGATGTGAAGTCTCCATCTTTTTAATGGCTGAATAGTATTCCATAGTATACATATACCACAGCTTGTTAATTATTCCTGGGTTGATGAGCATTTAGGTTGTTTCCACATCCTAGTGATTGTGAATTGAGTTGTGATAAACAATATAGTGCAAAAGTCCTTATGATAAAATGATTTTTTTTTCTTCTGGGTAGATGCTTAGTAGCGGGATTGCAGGGTCAAATGGAGGTCTAATTTGAATTCTTCGAGGATTCTCCATGCTTCTTTCCAAAGAGGCTGTTTTGGTTTGTAGTCCCAACAACAGTAGAAAAGTGTTGCCCTCCTTCTACATCTGTGCCAGCACCTGCAGCTTTGGGATTTTGTGATGTGGGTTATTCTCACTGGAGTTCAGTGCTGTCTCAGGGTGGTTTTGATGTGCATTTCTCTGATGATTATGGATGATGAGCATTTTTTTGTATGTTTGTTAGCCAATTGTTTATCTTTCTCAGAGAAGGTTCTGTTCATGTCCTTGCCCAGCAATAGATGGGACTGTTTGCTCTTTTTTTGTTGATTAATTTGAGCTCTCTGTAGATCCTAGTTACCAGCCCTTAATGATGCATTTTTATGTGGGTTTGTTTTTATCCAATGTTCTGAGCATTTAGTGGGCTATTTCAATCTGAAAATTTATGTCCTCAGTCTTAGAATATTTTCTTTAATTATTTCT